GCCGCCGCCATGTCGTACGTACCCGTTCCAAAAAATGGGTGTCCAAAACCGACACGCGTGAGAGGAGCTGCAAGCCCCATGACAATACCAACAACAATAGAGCATGCTAGCCAACGATAGCGGTAGTGCTTGTTTGTCACCATCCCTCGGCCCTTCTCATCCCAGGTATAAATACATACTTTTGCCTTTATGTCCACCAGACCCGCAGTAAATGCAGAAAGCCGTGGTGTCAAACGACGTTCAAACCGTTCCAAAGCGTGTGCTACTCGCATGTAACTATTATAGGCGGCGTAAAACAAAGACTGCAGCACCCAAAAAACACATGGAATCACAATCTCCGCCAGTGTCAGACGTCCATCACTCACTGCGCCCAGATTCACCTTCGCTGCAGCAATCACAACTGCTGAAAAACTACAACACATTGCAAGCGTCACAAAGTGTAAGGAAAGAAATGGCGGGTCGTATTTTCTTAGGAGCGAGGCACCACTCACAATAAATTCCCGTTCCATTTCTAGCCTGGCCTTACGAATAGGGGAAAATGGAAACTGCGGCAACGACAGGAACGGGAAAAGAAATATGAGGCAATATTTCACGTAATGACTAAATGAGAAAAACTCATTGGATGCAGGTGCGGCACATGCAAATATCGCATAGGCGGAGGCCCCCATCGCAAGTGCATTTTTTGTAGCCGGTTTCTCTTGCATCTGTATCTCAGCATGTGCCGTTTGCCGCTGCGTCGTTGCCGCCGTCAGAGACTCCTCCGTATCCGACAGTGATGCTTGTCGGTCCACAAAACTCCGGGAAATGATTGCGCGTGACGGACTTCTCGTGGAGGAGCAATTCACAATGAAATATTCGGGCTTCTCACTGTTTGATGGCATGGAGTTCTTTTCTGGGGAACACTCCCTGCAGAGACGCACTTTTGGCTCACTGATGCGACTGTTGACATACAGATGCTGCCAGTTCGGCGCTCGAGTCACCGCCGTGAGTTTCTGCAGCTCATCACACAGACGAAAGGCAATGCGCGTGAAAAGTTGTGCGCGAGCTCCACCGCCCAAGTTATCCTCCGCCTGCTCCACCATAAATCCCTCATGCCACCTGCCACGCGTCAGACGGCCATCCTGCACGTACAATCCAGAGCCGTGCGCCGCAGAACTCTTGAAGCTGCCAGAAAAACGTGCACCGGTGGGAAGTAACATCTCCGCGTGCCCGTCTAAATGTCCGTGCGAAAACCTCCCGGCGCAAATAACCCCTGACGGAAAGACGCACACGCCACGTCCCTCCGGTTTGCCATCAACCAACGGCCCTTCGTACAGGGCACCGTCGCTGAGGCACACGCTCGCCACGTGTTGCATGACGTCCAAGGCGGCAGGTGCCTGTTAATTTCCGCCGTATGTACCCAGCGGCTCCCCAGGCATTAGAGCGAGCCAAACGTCCAGGCAACGCAAGCCACAACACAAAAAAAACACCGTCAAATACAAATATTTGCATGTCTATATATATATATATATATAAACATAGATACAGACATATATTCACATATTGGTAAATAAGTTGATATGTTAATATATAAGAGAGGGCTAAAAATATAACAAAATCGTGCACAAATTTAAATATTTTATACAAAGAATAATCTCCTGGGCAGCTGGCCGGATCCTGAAATAATTTATGGAACCAAACAAGTTAAGGAAAAGGGTTCGTTAGTTAATTGCTTCAATGTTTTCTTTTCATTCAATATATAAATTCTGTGGACCACTAGCATGTTGCTTTGTCCTCAGTTAGGATTTGGATATTACTACTTACGAAGTGGCAGACTTCGGGGTCCTCCAACCACATGACCCCGCCGCGTGGTGGGAATCAACAGGGGGTGGGTGGGGTGGCAAAATAAAAATCAAATATTATCTGGCCCCTATCGTCTCCCTGCCCCTACAAAGTCGTGTTCTTCCCAAAGGATTCATACGGCAGAAAGTATCATGAAGAATGCCTTCATTTATCAGGATGTACATTCATTAGTTAAGGCAGCCAGCTCTCCCACGATCATTCTTTTCACAAGCTCCTAAAGAAAAAATAAAGAAAAAAAAAGGAGGGCCAAAATAAATTAAACAAACAACAAAAAAAGTATCCATTTTTTTTCCTTTTTTTTATTCCTGGAGCCTACTGAACTTCTTCGGAAATTACCCCAGCCATCTCCAACGGAACATTTCGTCCCGCCTCTTCCTGCACACGCCTGGAGCGTACAAAGCGCATGTAGACAAAATGCATCAGCAGACTTGCAGTGAAGGCCAATGCGCAGAGGCACGCAAGCACAGTGAATGATGTCCGCACACACTTGCTACGTCCCAGGCAGTGGACCCGACCATCCGAAGCCCGAACGGAGTTTCGCGTCATAAGTTCACCAAACATAAAACGGTTGAAGACAATGACACCAATGAGATCAAAAACAAAGATACTGTTGTAATGTTTCGCAACGTCAATGCTGAAAATGGTGCGGACAGTCAATACGAGGGTAGCAGCGTAGGACCCGTTCGCAAATCCTCCAAAAAGCATTGGTACGATCAGCGCCCGTGCTGGCACAATGAGAAAAAAGATGCAAGAAAGGCACATCATGAGGGACGGGATGCAGTACGTGATGGTAATGGGCGTTCGCTTCTCAAGTGGTCGGCTTGCATTCCATGCTTCAAAGAAACTGACGCCAAGACGACTAATGGCGTTACCGACACTCGTCAGGGCAACGTACAGGGCGGGAAGCTGCTCGCTCGACGGGTCCTCTGATACCGCCACAAACAGCTGGCGACTGTTGAGCATAACAATATGCACACCACCCGACACAATGACAGCGTTCAGCCAGAAACACCACAATGGAATACTGTGAAGGACATTGTGAAAGAAGCCGGTCTGGTACTGCGGAAAATTCTTGTCATCATTGGAAACAAGCCTTTCCTCTCCTTCAAAAGCCTCATCCATTATTTCATTTTTGGCGTCACCGGCAGATGTGTTCTCTTTGCTGTCGTTCTTCTTGTTGGAGTTCCCGAGGGGTTCGTTGCTGCCGCTAGTGGATTTTCTGCTTCCCCTCAATGGCTTGTCAAGGCAATTGAATGGCAGGACAACAAGGAATAACGAAAAGCAGAGCAGAATCATGATAATTGCGGGTGGGTTTTTCGTCTTGAATGGCACTTCACCCTCCACAAAAACAAAGGCGATGCTCTGTACCGTGATCACAATGAGAAGACTCAACACAATGACGAACAAAATAAGAAAGCGCCGTCTGGGGGCCTTCTTGATGAGATACATGTGCTCCACACGACGTGCTATCGCGTGCTCCTCTTCGGTGTAATGCTTGATCCTGTGGCCTGTCATATGGTACGGAGGGATCTGAATGAAGATAAACGCCCAGAACCCAATGACCACAAAAACGGCAAGAAGAAAAAACATAAAAGTGGAGTGGTTGCCTGAAAAGTACGTGTTGTAAATTGTCGCAATGACAGAGCTTGCCAATCCAATCATCGACTTCACAGCTGCCACCAAGAGACCGCGGTCAACTGGAAACCAGCTGAGTACAGACAAGATGGGGCCCATATCAAACATGGCACAGCCAGTGTTCATGATGGCATTGATGACAGCAAGACTCCCCACGCTTGCCCCAATCCTTCCCGAAAACGTCAATGCAAATAGTGCTGCGCCAAGTCCGTACGCAAATATACCAATCGCAAAAAGCGGCTTCGGCCCTATGTAGTCAAGGATGAATCCAAAGGGAAGCGTAAAGTATCCAAGAACGATGCCCACAGTTGAAACGGTGGTGATATCGTTCTGGGTAAAGCCGTAGTCATCCGTCATTTTGCCCGATATGAGCGAAAAGGAGTAGACGGCACCGGATGCGATCGCACAAAACATGCTGCACACCACAAACCCAAAGCGCTGTGACTCGTTAATGGAGTTGGGTACCTCAAGTCGGTCATTGAAACCAAGCACCATTTTCCACGCCCTCAATTTGCTGTTTGTCCCTGTTAGCTCCAAGCTAAAACTTATTTGCTGTTGCCTTTTTTTTGCTTGATTTCGAAAAACGTTAAGTCTTTCCAAAATTTAAAAAAGATGGGGAGAAATCGCCACAGCCATGTCACCGTACGAGTGGCAGAGAAGGTTGTGACAAGTCTGGCCATGCAACTGATTACAACGGCCCTGTTTTTACCTGCACCATAAATACATGTCCACAAACAAGTATATATGTATATATGTATTTACTCTTGTGCCCAAGAACAACAATAAAAAAAAAGAGCGAAAGCCGTGCCATGCACTCTCACAAAAGTTATAAATAAATTTCCCTGGCACCGCTTTCCTCGGTGGGGTCCCCTGCGGCATCCACAGCACACCCACTCGGATCGTCGATCTGCACTGCGATGTCGTCAGTGGCCACTTCCAGACAGCCCTCTTCGCCGCAGA